CCTTATCGTAGTTATTTAGATTTCCTCGAAAGACTGATTTTGTGTTTTTCCATAGTTTAGTTTCCCTCTTTAGAGTGTTTTTTTGTTCTCCATCTTGTTACTGTGATATATCCACTAAAATACTTTATTTTGAAACCGTCTGAGTCTGAGTTGTGCATTTGGGTTCATGCCTCTGAGTTCACCCCTTGACACCTATTGATTTGAACACGATCCGTGTATCCATGATTTCCTGGTCTTCTCTAAAGAAGAGGGACCAATGAAAATGTTGTCATGTTGCCGTTGTTCAGCATGGAAACATTCATTAGCTAACAATGACATTATTGTTCTATTAATATAAAGGGAGGTCAGGTACTCTTTAAAACAGCTGCTAGTTATGGGTACGTTTTACTTAAGTACATTTCAAAGCCGATACTTCTTTACTTTTACTTGAGCAAAGAAGTTTAGTCAGTACTTCTACTTTTACCAGTATTTTTAAACACGAGTATTTGTACTTCTACTTGAGTAAAGGATGTGTGTACTTTTGCCATCTCTGGTAAGGACCATCACTATCGTGCTATAACTGCACAACTGATCCATGACAAAGGTTCAGCACTCGTTGCTTTAGGTACGGTGAAACGGAGGAAAGACATTATGCTGAAGCATGCACCAGTTTCTTGAAGTTGCACAGGAGTGGGAGTCGAGGTAATCTCTGTGGGAACAGACAGAACTCTCTGTGAAACCAGCTTTGTCGATGCTTTAGCTAAGTGGCGGAAAATTGTCCAACTTCATGCCAATAATTCAGAAATCATGATATAATAAAGCAGAAATCCCATGTTAAACTAGTGATTAATCATGATCACAAAAGTAATGATCCTGATTCAGTTGGACTATACTGTTGAGGTCAATTAAGGGAACCTGGTTGAACTAAGGCATTTGAAAATGTCTTCCGAAACAGACAATCACAGTGTTTGGAGGTTTATCGATGAGAACTGGAAATAACGTGTTTGGAACACGTTGACCTGCAGGATTGAGTTGCGCAGAATGGAGAAAGGCAGAGAAAAATAAAGAAGGGCTGTCTATGTGAATGTAGCTCGCAATTCATCTGAATACCATATGCCATTACAAGCTAAAAAACACGGCCCAAATACCTTAGCAACTAAACTAATCAGGCGCCAACTGCTAAATGGTCCGAAGAAACCTTTATTCCATTAGTTTAAAAATAGGTAAGGGATTATAAACACATACGTATGTGACAAAGAGAAAATGAGGGCATTCATTAAATGCTTTTCAGACGAAAGCAACTTGTTTACACGTAAAAAATTAAATTGACAGTCTGTATTGTAGGCCTGTTTGATGTTGGACATAATAAAGCCCACCTAAATCTCAATACATTATTGCATTATTCAGTTACAATATAGTGTTATGATGATTCATTTGAGATTGTGTTGAGTAAAAGTGATTTTAAAATCTGCATCTCTGGGAAGTGTAGTTGTGATAGTAGCCATAGGAACTACATCTATTTGCATCTTTGTAAATCAAAGATTAAAAAAATAATAACATCTCTGTTTAAATAACAGAGGAGTGAGGTCTTGTGTATGGGATCACAGAAAATATTGAGTAATAATCTATTTTGTATAATATGCTTGTGCCATCGTATCCAAAAAGCACAGTTTTGGGGGTCCCACTAGTGAAACACAAGGTGACATTTTATAGTTCTAACTAAGGCAGACATATAATTGTACATGTTATATGTGAGCTATACATCTGAGACCATGGGTAGTGTGTACCTCTCTTTGCACAGGCTGTCAATCCTCTCTGTCAAAAGTAGTGACAACTATCCCCCCCGGCAGGGTAATTAACTGACTCTAATCCATCTTTAACATGAAAGCAATGTTCATGTGTACACTGCTGCACCTTTTGAGGTATGCTGCAGTCTCCTGTACTTATATGAGTCTTTAGATTTGAAATGTCTTCATCTTTACTTAGTTATTAAAACATGGTGACTAACCCTATCCCATTACAAAACATCAAGTAGGTTCTTAGCTAAATCCATGACAGTGATTATGGTGAACCAAAACATATGAATAGTTCATCCATTGCTGTTATATATTTTTCATATAAATTTGTATATTTGCAAATCTAATTTCAGTTGTTCCTTTGGTATGTCATTTTTCCAACACTTTTTCTATGGTATATCCAATTAGATCTGATGTTCACCATAACCAACCATCAAATCTAGCAACAGAGATGATCAAATTGAGGTATCAGCTACCAACATTTTGCAATGAGTGGCATCAGAAAATGTAGACTCCCAATGCTAAACCTAACTAATGAGAGTGAGTAACTATCTAAACAACTTTCCAGGTCATTGTGCAGATACTTATGTAAGGTACTTATTCAATGAAACGCAGTGGTACTGGAGAGAAATTGTTTGCACAGTGACCCCACAAAAGAACATGGACTTGATACCGAGACAATTAGCTCTAGCCACTTTCTCCGTCACTCTAACCCTAACCACACACCCTGCAACAGACTAGAACCTGATGCTCTGCTTCACAAAGGAGAACCCCAGTTAGACGCCACACCAAACATGCTAGCACTACCTGTTTATCACCCATCCGCAAAAAAACATTTTAAATTACAATTTTAAATGTAATTTTCTTTTCTCCAGCAAAAATACTTTAAATAAACCTTCTATTCCAAAACATAGCCCACATATTAGTTTAAAGCACTCACAAAAACAACTATGTGTCAAACTCCAAAAGTAGCAACGGAAACTCTTACTACCAAAACTTGACTTGGACGAGCCACGATTTTTTCACGTTTTATTTAGCAAATTGACCAATAACTTATTAATGTATACTTACATTAATACAATCAAGCAGTACACTTTATCCATGTTTTGATATAGGAATGTCTATTTGATATTAGGAATCATTTAAGCATGTGACTGTGAGGTTACACCAGGCAGATATGTTTTTGACCAGCTTAATTGAAAAATACTCAGCCCAGAAAAGAGTTTGGGAGAACAGAAATTGGCATAGAGCCCAAACACTTTACTGTGCATAGTAGTTTGTGTAGTGTATGAGTGTGTGGATCTCAGTATGAATAAAAAGACAAACAACCAATTAATGGATAGGGAGACTGACAGCTCAGGCACCCATACATATCAGTAAGCAGTCAACCCAAACCAGGTGTCAGCCATCTTTCCGGATTTGGGGGGAGTAGCTCATCAGGAAACTGATGCTGAGGCCGTCACAGAAACTGTCCCAACATGTACATTTAACACCATCGCTCAATGATCCATAACATCAGCTGTAATAATGTCTAGCTAATCTAGTTTACACAGGCCAATAAACACATGGGCGTGCGCCAGGGGCGGATCTAGAAAAATATTCATGGGGTGGCAAGAGGGTGGCAGGATAATTTGAGGGGTGGCATCCCCTGGCAGAAGTATATGCTGATTTAATCGCAGTCATATCAATCAATGTTAACTTGGAAAGCCACAATATTGATATTTTAACTAAATAACATTTGGTGACATTATTGTGGCACATCAGTAAAGCCTTAAATATAAATATATAAGGTGGCAAGACATCATTTAATGAATTTTAACTGAATGAGTTGGTTTCACTCTTAGACCAGCAGGGGTACCAAATATATGCAGACTGCTGCAATAAGTACATTAATTAACTGTCTCATCGATGTGTGTCTGTATGAATATGATAATATTAACAATCATATTATTCCTATCAGCTGTCAATCACTGTTATGATTCACATATTCAGTGTTATTATTAAATAAACTATATTTGTTGGAGGAGTTAATGATGAATGTTCCTCAAGATGCTTGCTCACCCTCCTTCAAATTTGAAAGACAAATAATTACTATCATAAAAGAACAGTTCAGCGCCCCACAACTTCATTGCATACACTTACAACCTTGACTTTACATCAGAAAGAACAAACATTAAAGAAGTGACTAACTGCATCAATTAGGGTTAAAAAAATGTGTNTGTGTGCCTTGGCAGTCTCAGTTCTTTATGCATATTGTTGTGGGAATGGAAAAATAAATGAAAGAAGGCGGATATATCCATTTAACATACAGTATGTATGTTTATTATAACATGTTTCTGTGTGTCAAAATGAAAGACAGCCCACACACCTATCAATCATCAAACCGTGGGGTCTTATTTCATTACGTGTTGATTTCTATCAACACGTAATGTTGCATCGATGTATATAGAGCAGAGATGTACTACAGCAAAAGTATTCTCCGTCGGGTCTTCCTGCAACAACACCACGCCGTTATCTTGATTCTGATTGGCCAGAAGACATTATGAAAGATGTTCTATTGAGAAGACAATCACTACATGACAAAAGTTTTCAAAACCGTTTCTAGTCTTCGGTATTTCCAGACAAGTGGCTACTGAATATCAATCTTACTAACTGCTGTCTGTGCAATTTACTCCGCGCGAGTTGGCGGACTTTATTTTGCTTACTTTAACATCATTGTTCATGGTGGGGCTAAGCCATTTCTTGGTATGGCTGTAGCCTACCCCAGCCATACCCTGACCGCAAATACCTCATTCCTTCTGTCTACTTGTATCCGAAATGCTTCTCGTTTTGCGCTGTCCTCCCGTTCAAATGAAATCGCCGCCAATCATATTTCCAAGCTCGCGCCAGGGGGTGGAGGGGTTACAAGGCTCGCGTCTTGTGCTGCATTCACTTTCACTCGGACATTAGAGATTTTCTCTCATAAATGTCCGATGAGCCACAACTTTTCTTTCAAAACAAAGCTGCCAANTAGCTCATCAGGAAACTGATGCTGAGGCCGTCACAGAAACTGTCCCAACATGTACATTTAACACCATCGCTCAATGATCCATAACATCAGCTGTAATAATGTCTAGCTAATCTAGTTTACACAGGCCAATAAACACATGGGCGTGCGCCGTGCGCACCAACCAACAACAGAATGCTGAGGTGCGAAGTGCAGATTCAACGGGAGGATGTGTTGCACTACAGTAGGCAGCTTGAGTCTAACAACTGGAGCTATATTCTGTACCACTTCCTGATAAAAGTGGGCTAAATGGTGATGAGGCAGAAAGGAAACTATAACTCTCAAGGTTGAGCAATTTGATAAAGCACTGGAACGGTAAATGTAAACTAAATATGCACTAGTCTGCCATATTTTTGTTTTTCCTTATGTGCCGTGCTTGGCTTGTTAGAGTGACACACACACACACACACACACACACACACACACACACACACACACACACACACACACACACACACACA